GACGGAGAGTGCGACATTTAATCTGTAGGCGCATTGGGATAGTGAAAGATATCTTCCAAAAACTATGAAAAGTATAAAGAATTAGAAAAGTTTCGTAGAAACAAAGAAAAAACTAATAAAAAGTAATAACGATTCTTCTATATGAATGCTGGAAAACAGTTCATAACCTATATATATTGGACGACCACGTATGTATATGTGTCTGCATACATCGATGTTTGCGTTAGTACGATGAATGACAAAACGACGAAATTTCCCCCACCACTTCCACAATAACACCAATACACGCAATCTACATAAACCCAAATTTTTAAAAACATTAATCAGTTTGTCTGACGATCGCTAAAGCGTGAAACCCAGGGTCACAAACTCACATCTATCCAACCAAATATGTTAGCTCTATCTCTGATATTGAGCGCTTTCTAATAAGTACCGCGCATATAATATATAAATAATTATACATATATATATTTATTTATATTTATATACACTTTTCACACACACACACACACACACACATATATATATATATATATATATATATATATATATATATATATATATATATATATATATAAACAAATATTGGTGTAAATTGTTGACAGAACAGGAAATAGAAGCGATTGCAAAAAGTACCCTTTAATAAGAGCTACAAGGGACAGGATATTATGGATAGCCCTAATCACTCGCATCCTGAATGCACACATCAAATAAAACAAGTTCTCATTGTCGTACACACACAACCATCGGAAAATAAACAAATTATCTGTGCAGTGTTCGGAGTCGCACACAAGTTTGTTGCAAAATAGTTTGCGTGTTGTAAAATCCAAAACCCTTGGACCTAAAAATCGATATGGATCGAATGGATGATGGAGACACTTGGTATCTACCATGTTCTCTTGGAGGGAAAGGGTGGATTTCTTTTTTTTTTATAGACAAATGCTCCATTTCAGTGCAAAGATGAGCAAAAAAATCTTCAGAAATCTTTGTTCGTTTAAAACTAGGTTGGATTTAGTCAAGGCTTCTCCTGGGAAATCACTTGATAAATATTGAAAAAAAAGAAAGAACTGACTTTACTTCATCAATTAATATGAACACTGAAAGCAGCTTTAGAATTGAAATAAATATTACTCGATAAAAGTTAAAAAAAAAGACGAATCGAATGGTTGTCGTCAGTCCATTGTTGTTTTTTCCTGTCATTCTCAATTGCAATCTATTGATTAATACTAACGCCAAGAAAAAACATTAATGAATGATCATGACTGGTTATCAATGCGTACTTGACCGGCTTAAAGTGGATCAGTGCTTCAAATTGTTTGGTTTTCATCAATACAGTGATTAGCCGAGACAATTGTTTGATATCTTTTGTAACCCAAAAAATAAAAGAAACATCTAACCAAATCGAAAAAGTAACAAGATCTAAGTGCAAACGGTTGCTCACACTCAAAAACATTCACCTCCTCAAACGACAGATGGGATAGATGTTTGAATAAAAGCTTCCACCATGTCAACTTTGCACTAGGCAACTGAGAACGATTAGTTATTTGTTGGACTAATGACCAAAGTGCAAAATGAAATAACAGCCGTGTTTTTGTCTTGATTTGTGTTAGATCTCCTCTCTTTCTTTCTTTCTTTCTTTCTTTCTCTGTCTCTCTCATTCTCTCATTATCTCTCTTTTTCTCTATTTCTCTCTCTTTCTCACTTTTCTTCTCTCTCTCTCTCTCTCTCTCTCTCCTTCACTCTTTTCTTCTATATTTCTCTCTCTATCTTTATTTCTATCTCTCTCTCCCCCATCTCTTTTTCTCAATCCGAAACTTAAATTTTGAGTCATGATTAAAAACATGATTGTCTCGGCATGGATTTTATATTGGTTTACGTCGCATATAAGCGGATGGTGCAGCGGCTGCTGTGGGGTGACAGCTCAGAACGAAAAAAACTAAGGGAACTGAATTCGATTAGGTATTCCCGTTTATTACATTCATTTTCCCCGCAAATACCCTTGGAAAAGACTCAGGAAGACCGGGCTCATTAGCCTTGGCTGGCAACCAGTTTAGAAGATGAAAATATCTGAATTCCCAAAACTTGAATAGTGGGAACATCTAATAAAAAGAAAACACCGACAGAAAAATCAACCCTTCCTCAGAGTACGGAGGTTTGATTTAGGACCAATCATCCCACCCAGTTGAAGAATTCTATTACAGAAGCTTTATTTGTCATGAATTGCCAGACAGACAGCACAAACACTTACAGACAGATGAATAGAATGAGTTTCTGACTTTAAGTGACTGAGTGAATTCTGCTTACAGAACAATTCACTATTTAAATTATTCGGACTGTTATCCTCCTCTTTCGTTGTACGCCGCAACCTTCTTTAGGTCAATTTCGAACTGAACCTTTTATTTCGTTCGTACACCGTTCTAGTTCCACGCGCCATGCCTCCTCCGGTGTCTCAGGTTTATCCCTTTAACGCAACTCTCCAAATTTTTGTTCACCACTGCCGTGGCAAGGTACTGAACTCACAACTCTTTGGGTCAAGTCACTGAATCCAACCAACGCTTTTATCCACTGGTCCAGCTTTTATCAAATGTGTCCTTGAGAAGATATGGCAATAAAGATGAGGACAACAGTCCGAAACAATTTAAATAATGTAAATAATTACAATACCTCATCTCAGAAATATAGACAATTCGCTAGTATAGTTATTTCGATTTTCAAAGTCCCCTCTCTATTGATATATTATTTATATTTGAACTGATTAGAAAACCTGATTTATATAGAAATATGTTAGAATAATCCATAACACTTAATGCATTGGGATAAAAAAAGAATAATTAAGCAAATATGTAATAATTGAAAGGAGTGTAAGAGAAGGTTGCGTCTTTTTAATCAAATATATTTAACCCAAAAGACGAAGCAATCAAAAAAGAGAATTAGAAGTCCTATCAGAATTTATTATTGGTAAACACAATCTTAACATACTCAGATGACACAGTGCTGATGAGAGACACAAAGAAAATTGCATGAGACAAAGTATTATAAAAGATAACAGGACTGACAAGTCCTGACAATCATGTGTAAGATGACAGAATTTTTGTTCACTTGTAAGTGGAACCGGCTAACCTGCTCGCAACGAATAAAGCAAGTATAGAGATTCAACTACCAGGGAAGCGTTATACCAGACGACAGAAAATACTGAAGGCCCAGTGAAATACTGAACGATAAAAATAGGAAAATGTCGTTAGAACCAAGAAAAGACTGCTAAACCGGTATAAGATTAATATATATATATATATATATATATATATATATATATATATATATATATATATATATATATATATATATATGATAAAATATAGATTTAAACAGTGCTATATTTATAGGTTAAAGTGCTCAATATCAGGGATTGAGTGTATATAAATATTAAAGTGGAAAGTGAATTCAACGCCTAATGGCCAGGCTTGTCGCCTCTGGATGTTGACATCAATATCCATATATATATATATATATATATATATATATATATATAAGAGTGTGCAGCTTATATTTTATGTCATAAAGAAACAATTTATACAAAGAATTAAATATTAAATAGCAATGTTAATGTGATTAATGGCGAAATCACTTCGCTAACAAGGCTTAATGAGACATTAACTTACTATCAATTCCTTAAATAATAAGATCCTTACATTCGATTTGTTGTCACATAGAAGACACATGCCAATTACTTTTGGCAATTTCAAATTGTCATTTTCAGGGCGCAATTTTCCCATACACTGGCAAACACCAAAACGAAATATGTGTAGACCGAAAGATTTTTTTTTAAATTATTGTTGAAATTTGACTAATGCATGGAATAATAATGCAACACAAAATGTACTTAGAACAAAATGTATTGAAACAAGAAAGTGTACACAATATTTACATATAGTCTTTTGTATATTCCTGGTAAGACCGTTCCTGGAGAATGTGTTGACTGAGTCGCAGTCGGGCAGAGTCTCTGGTTGAATCTCTTGATTCCTGTATTTATCTATCCACCCACGAGGATAAAATGTGGCTCGGCCAAAAATATGACCTTTCTGAACCCGCCTAGACGGGTTCAAGGCCTGTCTACCACCCCGGACGAAACCCTGCCTCTCGGCAAAGTCTTGTCCGGGTCCCTCACTGCAAAATGCAGAGAGTTCGACTGAGAGTGAATCTCTTGATTACTCCCTCTCTTCCCGGTACCAACCATATTTATATGGTCGGTACTCCACTATGCAAATTTGGATCCTACCACAACAATTATGCTATTTATTAACAGTATAAAGATATCACACGCTCCAAAACATATATTAAACTTCAAGTTTTGTCTACTTATTTTTAATAGAATCCTCTCGTAATTACGAACAGGTTTCTCAGTATACTTATTAAAGGAAGAAAGAAAATTACCATGTTTATTCCGGGTACTTTTGACATTAGTACAATGCCGTCTTCAGGGTCTTGTTTTTTCTAAGACAAAATATTGTTGTGTTCATCTGAAAATTCAATTTTTACGAGTGAAGTGTAAAATTTAAAAATTGAAATTTAAAATTAAATTGTTTAAAATTTTAAAATTCTACAGTGTATAACGTGTAAAGTGAAGCATGAAATAATTTTTCCTTCACTGCCAGCAGAACAGACATGGAACTCTTGATTTGTGTGACAATCAGTTATGGAGAAGGCAAAGTCTAATTCCAAATTGTGTCTGTCAAATAAGGAATATGCTTAAGTATATCTGTAGGTTTTAAGTTTATTCTGAAATTGTTACCATCCGGGGAGATGAGGAGGGCTATTAAGAGATTGCCTGACACATTTTAAACGATTTCTGTTTTCTGTTCTTCCGAAAAGAGTACCTGGATCTGCACAACTGTCACTAATATAATCAAACCATCAGTGTGGATAATTTCGCTATTTAGTTCTGAACAAAGCTTTTGGGCTATGGGACATCCACATCCTCGGGAGTGTTTATCTATCATATTTTAGGAACACCCGGTATATTTATATGCGTTTAAATACATAAATAGCTTAGATAGATAGATAGATAGATAGATAGATAGATAGATAGATAGATAGATAATGAATAAGCTTATATAGCTAGCTAGATATCCAGATAGATAGATGTATATCTATATGCGTTTAAATACATAAATAGCTTAGATAGATAGATAGATAGAGAGAGAGAGAGATAATTAATAACCTTAGATAGATAGATAGATAGATAGATAGATAGATAGATAGATAGATAGATAAGTTTACTTAGATAGATAGATAGATAGATAGATAGATAGATAGATAGATAGAGAGAGATAATAATAGATAGATAGATAATAGATAGATAGATAGATAGATAGATAGATAGATAGATAGATAGATAGATAGATAGATGGTTTGTCTATATTTCTGAGATGAGATAATTAAGTAACCTTAGATAGATATTGATAGATATTTGTCACAATAGATAGATGAAGGTGGGTTTACTTAGATATTTAGATCGATGGGATAGATGTTCTAATGATATGATAGATAAGAAAAACGAGTTAGATAGATAGATGGAGAGAGAGAGATCACCGCCCCTGTGGGAGATGTTGAGATTAATAACCTTAGATAGTAAATAAGGAATAGATATGATAGATGAGATAGATAGAAATAAATACAATATGGGAACCAGATAGATAGATAGATGATAATAAAGTTTTGAACTCTTAGATAGATAACAGCAAAAAAAAAAAAAAAGATGAGATAAAAATGATGAAAAGATTAGTTTATAATTAATAACCAGATAGGATGGAGTGGATAAAGATAGATCCAGAGACCCAAAGAAGGTGAGATAATTAATGGTTAAGGCCTTAGATAGAGGGAAAATTAGCAGGAGATACTGATAACTGACATACGTGGAATTAGACAGATCTACCCCAGCGATAGAAATAGGGATCGAAATTCCAACCATGAAGATAGATAGATAGATAGACAAAGATAGGACAATATAGATAGATAGATAGATAATTAATAACCATAGATAGATAGAGAGAGAGATAATTAATAACCTTAGATAGATTAATAATAGATAGATAGATAGATAGATAGAGAGAGATAATTAATAACCTTAGATAGATAGATAGAGAGAGATAATTAATAACCTTAGATAGATAGATAGATAATAACCATAGATAGATAGATAGAAAATGTTTCTATGTTCGTGGTGATAAGATCAGTGTTTTTTCCAAGAAATAATTATTATAGTGGCTTTTTTCGAGCGAAAACCTTTACGTCACAAACTACGTTGCAAGGCGATCATGGTGAAGCAAATCTCTGAATCGTTGATTAACCAAAGCGTGGCTTTCTATCACACCATTCTAATTACAGTTTTCCTTTAACACAAGACGAAGATCATTAAAACTTGCAATGGCGTAGATTAATGATTACTGATTTTCGATTATCGATCAATTTATCAATCGATAAAGCAATCAGACCTGTTCGAATTCTGCGTCTGAACTTGTACCGACAGGTCAACTGCAATCAACAAGCCGAGGCTGTAGACCAACTTCCCCCCATTCCAAATCCCTTCATCAATGCTTGTCAAGGTGGACCGGCGTTACCAGGGAGTAAGAAGTAAAAACGTTTGCATAATTTCGTTTATACAGACACCGTCACCATATGGCGTACATTTGTGTGTGACGTGTGTATGCAGAATCTTTTTGTCCCCTCAGGGCGTAGGTGATCCACAACTTCTTGTCCCTGGTGGCTATTAATAAACTTTGTCTTTCTGTTCTCTCTCTTAAGTTTGTCCCGCCATCCCTTTACTCAAGCTCACTAAATATGTTATGCGTTTTTTTCCTTTGTTCCACTTGACCTCTGCCTGTCTTATGAGTATAAGATTTTCCAAGCCTTCTTTCCTCATTATGTGCTCCAGTAACCTCAACTGTCTCTTCCTTATATTAAACATTAGTTTCTTTTCTGTCTCCATTTGTTCCAAAAATTTGTCGTTGCTCAAATGCTCGGTCCCTACTATCCTCAGCATCCTTCTGTAGAACCACATTTCTGTTGCTTCTTTGACCAGATCATCCAGCACTCACTGCCATGCAGAAGGACAAATATTACAGTTCAGCACTCTTTTCCTTGCTTATAGCGATTATTTTTCTATTTCTTAGATTAGGTTTTGGAATTCTTCTTAGCTATCCCAATATGCCTTCAGAGTTCCATACTTGTTTCATTTTGGAATCTTCAATATGCAATTTGCACTTTCGGATCGTCTTTTTGCTAACCACCATGTCTTCTGTCTTCTTGCAATTGATGTTTAATCTTTTCTTGCCGCTTTTTCTCACTAGATTCTGTAGGAGGATTTGTAGCTTTCTTTCCGTGTCATCACAGCGTCATCTGCGTATCTTCTGGTGTTAAGATTGTGGCCGCCAATAATGAATCCTGGCCGGAATCGCATCGCCGTATAAGTAGAATAAATCCGGTGAGAAGACACATCCTTGTCTTACACCCGATTCTATTTTTATATATCTGCTGAATTCATTTTCTGCTGTCAGTATAGGTTCATGATTATTCTAATATCCTTCCCAAATACGTCAAAGTAGCTGAGCAGTTCTAATAGATCTTTGTAGCCTACTATATCGAACGCCTTTGTGTAAAAGGACAATGGACAGAAAATTATGGAGCACAATGATCGCCCACGCCCGAAGGGACACGGTGCATAGAAGAATATTAATAGAGTTTTATAAACATAAAATATTTGATTTTACGGTAGGCATTACTGGGTTCATAGGGATTTTACAAGCATGTTAGGGGATTTTGCTTTACTTCATGTGACTAAATTTTTCACTTATTTCTATTCTGGCGTTATTTATCCCCCGAAAAAAACTGAAGCATTTGACATTTGACTTATATCTGTTGACTTTTCAAAATGTTAGTCATAAAGCCAAACAGTATGAAATGAATAAAGATTTTTCCCATTCGTTAAAACCGAGTTAAAATTTTAAATTAATTTTTAAAATAAGTAAAAAATAAGCAAGTCTTTCTACTCCTTAGCCGATCTTCTCGTCAAAAATGTTAGACTTGAAGGACATTAAAAGTAAGTTCTATTCCAACCAAAAGTTTCAGAAATGCAACATTTAACATTTAACCTAATAAAAAAAAATGAGATTTCTCTATTGTGTTATATTAGAATACTGTCATCGAATAAAGTAGCCATTTAAGCTGGCTTTTATTAAGTAATTTGGACAAAACTTTTGAGGGGTACTACCCTTTTTACACAAATGGACTCACCCAGTATATACATATACTACTGCTACGTGAAGACCCGAGAGAGTAAGACAAACAGAGAAGGGTAGTGAAAGATTGTAGGTAACCGGAAGAGTGAGAGTAAGGTAACAGACAAGAACGAACGTAGTGAGCAAGAGTCACAGTGAACGAGCACGTAGACTCAGTAAGAAGTCATACAGCGATACTTCAATACCAAAGACTGTATAGATATTTTGCTACTAACCCGTATTCCTGGAACTACTAACCAGCATTACCAGTTTGTATTATTACTTTAATATATTATTTTCCTATATTTATTCTTGGCGTTTGTTATTTATTGGTACCGGATTTCATCCCGGAATCCACAACGAAAACCATCATCAGGAAAATGTTAGGATACTCTGTTATTGTGGGAAGATGCAAAATGTTAAAAAAACAATAAATGGAATTGCTAACCGTAAACATTTGGTGGTATGTTAAAGTAGATGTATAAATAATGGGACTACATACATGACAGACACAGGATCATATACGCAGGTGAAGAAAAAATATAAAGGGAGTAGGACTAATACTAAACGAAGACATAAAGAAATGTGTTTGAGAATACTGTCAAATGTTGTACAGAGTTCTTTGGGAGAAACAGAAAGTGAAGCCATTCAATATAGCCCTCATACAGAATGTCATAAAGCATAGAAGAAATTGTTAAGGTTTATAGTAGATAACACCAATGCTAAAGTAAGAAAGTAATGAGGCAATGAAATTAACGAATAAAGACTAGGATTACACAATGAGTGTGAATAAAAATGGATCCAATAGTGCACAGCAATAACTAAATAATAACCAACACCTGGTTTCAAGAGCACCTAAGACATTTGTGGACATGGAAAAGATCAACAGTGGACAAAGGACCAGATAGATTACCTAACATTTGATAAGATTCAAGAATACAGTTGTATACTCAAAAATATATCCAAGCCCTAACTGTGGGAGTGAACAGGCAATCACAAATTAAAATTATGAAAATTAATTATATCCAAAGCATTGTCTAATGTATCTAGGATGACTCAATTTCTAACATGATATATACTGATAGTCAAGAATAAATATAAGAGTTTAGAAGAGGCCAGGAATTCAAAGTGGAACACCACAAGGAAAACTAGTTACATTGGTGAATTAAATCATCCAAGGAAAGAGAGAACAGAAAAAAGAAATTGATGACATGAAATTTTCAAGACCCATGAAAAAAAGACAGTAATATTTCAAGAGCACCCAAGACATTTGTGGACATGGAAAAGCTCAGCAGTAGACAAGGAACCAAATAGACTACTTAACACTTTTTAAGCATTTCATCCCAAGCAAGGAGAAAACTAAAACCAGCTCAGGAGCACATTTCTTTAGGACTACGGCTGGTATCCCGTCACCACCACTTGCTTTATGAGAGTCTAATTTAAATATGTCTAATACTATCGACGGGGTTATGCACATCTCAATCAGTATAGCATCAGTTCTTGGGAGAAAATCAAGTGTGGGTACCCCGGGGAAGTCATGCGTTGAGTTGGATGAGAATTTTCGAGCAAAGTATTCAGCCTTATCAGCTGAGGAAGTTAGGACTTGAATAGAGGAGAGATTGAGGATTTCCTGTAGTTCAACACACTCTTGCAGAGATGCCGGTAATCTTTAGAACCAAACATGCGATATGAAATACGTTATTTCATTCTAGCAGCAAACAGTAACTTTGCTTCGTTGAGGACACGCTTGCACTCATTATAGGCAGAGACAAAGAGACGACTGTTGCAATCAGACATGTCGCTCAGGTACAGACGGAATAAGCGATTCCGACAGGCTACAGCGGCAGAACAAGCAGGTGAGAAGCAAGAAGATGAGACGGATTTAACTTGGTATTTTCTTACTGGGATGAAAGCCTCAATGCGACGTTTGCCCAAGAGGAAACCTCAAACGCACATTTTTGAATGGGATGATTAACAACCACATTCCCAGTGACGTCGCGAAGGAAGTCACAAAACGCGTTGATAACAGAAACATATTCTCTTAGTAGAAGGTTCATGTCTGAAACGGGGTTGGAAGGCGATGTTAACAGATATCACCGCGTGATCAGAATTGCCAAGAGGGCAGAGCTGTGTAGCACGACAAGGATCAGGGAGAGAGGTAAAGCAGAAATCGCAAAGTGAAGCATTACCGTCTTGGTTACTGAGGAAACGCGTAGGAAAGGCAACCACTTGCGTGAGTGATTGAGCGATTGAAAAGTTAAGGGTTTGGATGCCAGCGAGGACGGTTACAGAGTGTTTCAGCCACATGCTATGCTAGTAGTTAAAGTCACTGAACATGAATATATTTGTAAACGGATGCAGAGAGATGGCTTTGTCTATATTACCATTGAGTACACAACAGTCTTGAGAGGAGGAAGAACGATAGAGAAAGAAGAAATAGCTTACTGGATTGAGGAGAGATAGATGGAGACAGATATAAGAATGGTCTTGACAGCAGGAATTGATTGCGGACATAAACACCCAGGTTATGCATGTGGGTTTTAGAGTCCTTGCTAAGAAGAGGAAAGTAGCCAGGAAATCAGAGGAAGGGATTGACGAGTTAAGATTCGTCTCGAAGAGAACGAGTGTATCAGGAGAATTATCAAAGAGGAACGATTCCATAGTGCAGAAGTTGGTACGAATACCACGGATGTCGGAGAAGGAAATGTTAAAGCGTTTAGATGTGTTATGGTGAAACACACCTATTCTATAGTTAATAGACTCTCCCACCTAATATAATTAGAAGTAGAAGAGAAACGAAGGTCGGTCGGTCAGTCGATGTCGGACGACAGTTAGTCGAATACGAAAGTATCAGCGACCACAACAAGATTACTCTGCGTAATACCTATTATATCAAGTTCCTAACGTTTTGTACGTCGAACCTATTTTAGGACCGATTTAGTACAAATACAAGCCTCCACCGAGAAATCACTCCACAACAAGATGATATTTTTGAGCTGGTTTAAATTTGTATTTTTGGTTGCTTATGGTCATGTTGTGGTTAATAAAAGATTCAACAATGAAGTTTTCTATTCTAAAATTTATCCAAGCTCCAACTGTGGGAGTTAACATCTTTCACACATATGGGATCACAGATTAA